AGAGGAGGCTGGTGGGGGAGGGGAAGGGAATGCAGATGAAGAGTTTAAGTTAGCCTCGGTGACTCCATTTTGAAATAAGAAGCCATCTTGACCAAGAGCTGAACTCAGGTACCAGGAAATATCACAGAACGTGCACCTGGCAGAAAACAAAGTTAGCTCTCCAAACAACGGCCTCCAAGAAATATTACAGAATAAATGTCTCTCTCCGTCATCCCCGTTCCCCTTTCCCACAATAAACCTCCTTCATACCCAATATGTTGCAGTGGCATATTAATCATCATTATTATAACATGTACAGAACACACATTCACACATTTCAAATTTTAAATTCCTACATCAATTAACGTAATTAAGATAAACCCTCAAAGGCGAGCTCGGAGGCACAGCTCCCGGCAACATAACAATTAACACTAAGAATCACACACCCATTTTTGCATAGTTGAGACTGATGGCTATATGTGGGGTGTCATCAATCCCAGCACTTGGGAGGTAGAGGCCAGTCTGATCTACATAGAAAGTTTCAGGCCAGCCAGGGATACAAAGCTCACTGCTGTGTTATGTTTTAAATCTTAAAGTTTCTTTTGAAACTCCTTTTCCTATGAAGGTCCCTAACACATTTTCTCCAGTCTTGGGCATTCTAATGCAGCAACAGCTCCCATAAACTTTACTTAAGATTAAATCTGACTTCAAGTTCCCACAAGCCAGGATTTGTGCTTAAAAGAGGCCCAGAGTGGGCTGGAGAGATGGCACAGCTGTGGAAGGCTAGGCTCATAATTAAAAAGAGTCCTGTGGCTTCCCCCTTTCCTGAGCCTCAGGAAAATGATCCCCCATTTTTCTGAGAGGCCCCAGGCAGTGGCTATACCAACCACTTGCCAGACTGCACCATTCTACAGCCTGGAAAAACTACCCTCTCACCACGGCTGGGGCACCCAGGGACACTCCAGTGTCTTGCCTTTGTGAAGTGAGGCCTTGATTCAATAATAAAAACCTCTTAAGGGACTCTCAGGTCCCCAGGACGTGTCCCTGAGTGCCCTCTCTGTCTCAAGACGACATGCAGGAAGGAAGACTCAGCTTCTTTCTAAATAAGGTCATTTTGTCCTTTGTTTATGCAGCATTATATTACACTCGTGTCTTCAAGTATTCCATGATCCTTTAAAAAGGAAAATTTTTATGGCTGCCAAGTGTCCCCGGGTCTGAAAGGATAATTTTTTATTTAGGTAACCGTTCTGTTCTCTTGGGGGCATCCATGGATGTGTCTAAATTTTTTAATGGCTGAATTGAGCAGATGTTCCTCGGGCCTGAAACCTTATCTGCACATTAAGATGCAAGCTGTTCAGTGACTTCTCTTCCCAGGGAAGACCTTGTATGGTTGCCCCGTGAGGGGACAGTGCTGGGGGAACTGCGTAGCAGAGCCATCAAGGAGCAGTCTTAGGGCCAGTGAGATGGTGCAGCTGCTAACACCACTCTCTCCCACGCCTGACAACCCAGCTCAATCTCCAGGATGCACATGGTGGAAGAAAAGAAAAGGGCTCCTGTAAGTTGTCCTTCGACCTCCATTTTTTTGGGAGGGAGGAAGGGGAGGTCTCACTGTGCAGTCCAGGGTAGCCTTGAACTCAAGGAGATCTGTTTGCCTCTGCCTCTGCCTGCTGAACACTGAGAACGAAGACATGTGCCACCATGTCTGGCCATCTTCCATAGTTCTTGAAGCTGGCAGTCCCATGGGGAACCGGCATGGTTGATTCTGGTAAGGAGCGGTTCTCTCTCTTTTTCTCAGTGGCAGGCGGCTGCCTATTCACTGTGTCCCCACATGCCCGAGAAATGGGACACTCTGGTGTCTTTTCAGTGAAGCCCCTTGTTGGGGCTCTACTCTTATCTATTCTCAGGCCAGACATGGTGACACACTTCTGTAATCCCAGCACTCTGGGAGGCAGAGGCAGGCAGATCTTTGTGAGTTCGAGACCAGCCTGATCTACAAAGCAAGTCCAGGACAACCAAGCTACACAGAGAAATCCTGTCTCAAAAAACAAAGACAAAACAAAACAAAAAGAAAAATCTATTTCCAATTACTCCCCAAAGCTTAAAGCCATTACCTGGCAGGCTTCAACATCTGAACTTGAGGACAAAGACTTTTGGTCTGCGGACAATGACCAACAGCCAGCCTGAGGTATCTGGGGACTGCTGCTAGACCTATCCTGGAGATGAGCCCTTTAATGGCCAGTACAGGCCATGACAGGGTGACTAGCTGAGCTCTCCTCCCCAGGAATTCAGTGGCTACAGTAGAGATGGTACTTTCTTTGCTTGTAGGCTGACCCTGGGATGGAGTTTTGTTTTCTGTTTTTATTGTTTTTTGTTTGGTTTGGTTTATTCAAGACAGAGACAGGGTTTCTCTGTGGTCCTGCCTGTTTTGGAACTCGCTTTGTAGACCAGGCTGGCCAAATTCAGAGATTCTGCCTATGTGTCCTGAGTGCTGGGATTAAAGGAGTGCACCACCACTGCCCAGCAGGGTGGAAGTGTTAATGTCAGTCAAGGAGGGTCACCTGGGTAACTTCTCCCTTTTTTCTCCCTGTGAAAGGGAAGGGGGGGGAAGGTAGGAATACTTTCAGCCCAGGAGCTGAGGATGGTGAGGCTTCTACTCATTGGATTCCTGCGTGCCTTGTGGAATGAGAGCCTACTTCCCTGCTCCCCATGAGAAAAAAAGGCTCCCCCATGCTCTGAAGCCCCCTCTCATATTATGGGCCTTCCTGTTACAGTTTAACCTTGGCCCTCTCTGGTAAGACTCAGGCTTCCAAATTACTTTATTACACTGAGGTAGGAGGAGAGTGGGTGGGGAAGAGAGATAGGGGACTTAGCTCACTTGGTAGAGTGTTTGCCTGGGTTCAGTCCTCAGCATAAACTGGGTGTGATGACACATGCCTATAATTGCAGCACTGGAGATGTGGAGGTAGAAGGATGGGAGTTCAAGCCCATCCTCAGATACATAGGCCAGCCTTGACTCCCCACTACCACCACACCCCTCAAAAGAGAGGAGGAGATGATGATGACAAAGTGGGCGTCAACTACAGGACTAATTACTGTTGAGTAGAGAGCACCCCCCCCCTTGAGGTCACTGAAATCTATATAGATTTTGACATGAGAGTAAAGGAAAACAGTTTGGTTTTTCTGTAGGAAAGTTTGTTTTAACTCTTTTTTGTTTTGTTTTGTTTTGTTTTTCAAGACAGGGTTTCTCTGTGTAGTCTTGGCTGTCCTGGAACTCTCTCTGTAGATCAGGCTGGCCTTGAACTGACAAGAGATCCACTTGCTTCTGTCTCCCAAGTGCTGAGATTAAAGGTGTGCACCACCACCACCTGGCTCTGTCTCTTCTCTTGGACTCTCTCTGCCTGAGTTTCTCTCCTGGGGACCCCCTACCATCTCTCTCTCTCTCTCTACCTCTATCCAAGAAATCTCTTTTATATCAGATCTGTTGTATGTGGCATTTTAAAAATACATCCTAACAAGGAGCCCTTACCGTACACTTCCGCTATTAAGATATTCCATTTTGGCTTAGACCTGAAGCAATGGATCCCGTCCATTGTAGACTGAAACTGGTGCTACCAGGAGCTTAAACACACACACACACACACACACACACACACACACACACACACACACCCTCCCCTTTGTTTTCCTCAGGTTTTTGTCACAACATGAGATCAAACACACTGTGACAACTGAAATGAGACCCCGCCGTTTTGTGTTACTGGTTCATACCAGTGATCCCGGCAATTCAATCTCAGCAGTGGGTAGGTTTAGGCAGAAATTGAGTCACCCTGGGCTACGCAGGAAGACTAGGTCTCAAGCGGGGGTGGGGGTGGGGTGGAGGTGGGAGGGTGAGGAGAACATCCAAAGAATTTGAAACGCAGGCGGAGATTTAATGGGGGAGGGGTTCACCACAAGGAGAGGCGTGACAGCTTTGGTAACAGATGGGGCTTCACAGAAACAAGGAAAGAGGCAAGCTTTCCTGGCTTGCTAGGGTCAGGAATGTGGTTTTTCAGTGTCTTCCTTGCATAAGATAAGTACCAGCAATCGGTCAACCCTGGCAAGACATTGGAGCGCTCCCCTTGTGTTGTTGCGGGTGGTGTGTGCTCCTTGGATAACACTGACAGAACAGGAGGATAGAGAAGGGATGCCATGCCTTAAAGAGTGGGAAGGGGGAAAAGGACTAGAACCTCAACTTCGTAGGAAACAGATTCCGTTTTTCAAATAGTCTGCTAGTCAGATCGAGAGACACCAATGTCTCTTTAGATGGCTTCACCTCTGTTCGGCCTTTTACACAAATGTAGACGGAAGCTGAAGCTATCTGTGTGTACAGATGTCGTACTCCTGCGGGCAGAGCGGCTCGCTGAGGTTGGGGCGGGCGGGTGGCTCTCTGAGGGAACGTTCTGTGGGGAGCCAGGGGGCTGCTGTGATTGAGAACGGAACAAAAGTCGGCGGGGATGCCTTTGGCATGTCCCTGTAGCCTTGCCTCCCCTGCAGACCCAAGGGCAGAGTCTAGGGAACGCCCTCATGACAACGATCCGGAGCATTTTGGTTTTATTGCCGGAAACAGGCGCGAGAAGACCGTTGATCACTTTTCAAATAAATCCCAGCATGCGCGGGCGTACTGGGCTGTACTTATCTATCATAGATGCGCGAGGCTAGATCGTCTCCGGGCCCTACGGCCGCCATCTTTGCTCCTGGCCGAAAATTTGCGAACGTCTAGAGCTTCTAACCGTGGTTGCACCCATAATCGCGAACGTAAAATGCCTGTCTCTCCCGAGAGACTCAAAGTCAAGCGGATACTCGAACCAGTGGAGCCTCTGTCAGAACAGGCTCTCGGGGCGACGGCTACCTCCCCGCCCTCTTCCAAGATGGCGACGGCGGGGACGCGCCAGGCGAGGACGCTCTAGCCCCGCCACTCGATGTCGCGGAGGGGCGCGGCCGGCCGTGAGGCGGTTCTGAGGCGGCCGAGACGCCCCTGGGCAGCGGCGTGAGCTCCGCCCCCGCCCTCCTGCGTGGGTCCCTCTGCGCCCGCCCCGGCCCGCCGGTCGCCGCTGTGGTCGTCACGGCTGCGCCCGCGTCCGGCCATCCCCAAGCCTCGCGCCGGAGGATGCCCAGGAAGCTGCTGCTGCTGCCCCCGCTGTCCGCGTGCTCCGCTGTCCGCGTCCCGCGGGTCCGCCCCGCCGCCTCGCCAGCCATGAACGCCGCCCGCACCGGCTACCGAGTCTTCTCGGCCAACTCCACGGCCGCCTGCACGGAGCTGGCCAAGCGCATCACCGAGTAAGCGGCGTGGTTCCCGGGGTGGCCCGGCGCCGCTGCCCGCCACCCCACCTCCGCGCCCGGGAGCGGAAGCCGCGGGCCTGCTCCTGGAGAGCCGAGCGCTCCCATCCCGGGGCCGAGGGGCGTCTTGACCCCTCAGAGATCCTGCTCTTGGAGTTGCCCTCTTGTCTGACCATCGCCATGCCCAGCCTCCCTAACGAGACGGAGGGGCTAGCCTTCAGACCCGAGACGTGGGAAGGTCAGGGAGAAGGGAGCAGTGGGCTGGACGAGGGCGAGCCGTGGTTACAAGTATGTAGGAACAGCCTGTACGAAAAAGAAAAAAATGGCCTTTGCTTAGGGGGGTGTGCTCGTGTGTATGTTAGCTCCTGACTTCGGGGACCCTGGGGCCCTGAGACGTCTTCCGAAGCTTGCCTCTCTTTACACGGGGTGAGCGACGCGATTTTTATTTATTTTTTTAAAATCTTACTTGCCTGAGCCTGGTGTGAGATAATGGAGATGAATCCTGTAGAGCAGGTCCACCCAGTGACCCGCTGAGACTATCTGTCTACGAAAAGGCCCCTTTTCTCTTTTGGGGAAAGCGAGAGCCCGGGTATAAAGAACCATGGGGACTCCTTTTAAAATAAACTTTTTGGTAATATGTAACAAAAATGCATCACTTGCCCTCCCCTTTAATGTTTGTTCATATGTTGCTTAACTTGTTATTCATTGGCCTTTGTTTTCTCTTTATGAGACAAATTCCACCGTGGGCCCCGGCTTACTAAGCAGACCGGACTGGTCTTGAACTCTTAAGAGATCTGCCTGCTTCTGTCGTGGAAATACCGGGATTAAAGTTTGCGTTACCACACCCAGCCTTGGATTTTGTTTCCTGAGATAAGATCTCAATGGCCCAGGCCAGACTAAATGGTGTGATCTTCTGGCCTTAGGCTCTCTGATTCCAGCATTTGGACTCCAGGCTTAAATGGCTTGACTGAACATTTAGTCATTTTCATATTTCAGAAATTTGTAGCTCCACCTGTTTTATTATCAGTTGGACTTTGAAGTGGGTTTAGGAGAGTGCAGGGAAACAGCTCTGCATTCTGGGCCTGGTTTCTATTTCTAATCCCTGATTATTTGTTTTTCTTGTGGAGGCCAACTAGAGTCATTTTAAACATGAGTTTGTTTATATTGTGTCGGATTTATCATGCATGACCTTGCCTTGAGAAAGCTCTAGCAGAGGAAGGCACTATCATAGTGGTTTTGCCTTTTCTGTTATGCTAATTCTTCAGAAGGCTATGAAGTTTCCTATAATAATAAATATAAATGCATCATATATTTTATAGGTTGAGTTTGTGGTATCTGACTCTGTGATCTCTTTTCTATTTCTTTCTTTGAGATAGGGTATTTCTGTGTAGCCCTGGTTGTCCTGGAATTTTCTTTATAAACCAGGCTGGCCTCAAACTCAGATCCACCTGCCTCTGCCTCTTCCTCCCAATCGCTGAGATCAAAGGTGTGCGCCTCCACGACCAGCTTTTCTTTCTTTTCTTTTTCTTAAAGGAAGTTAGGATCTTGCTATATAGTCTTGGCTGGTATGGTACTCACTATGTAGCCCAGACTGGCCTTCACCTTACAGCAATCTTTATGCCTCAGCTTCCAGAATTCTGGGTTAATTAACTATGCCCCTCCCCCTTTTGTTTGTGTAATAGGCGTCTTGGTGCCGAATTGGGGAAATCTGTTGTCTATCAGGAACCCAATGGAGGTAAGTTAAAAGTTGTGTTTTTTGTTTAGGATTTGCTGCTGCTGCTGCTGCTGCAGTAGCATCTTGGGAAGTTTAGGCTGCTTGAAACGCTGGACCCTCCCGCTTTGTCTCCCTGGCTCCATCCAGACCTCAAACTCCTGATCAACCTGCTTCTGCATCTCTAGTAATGCCACATGGGAGAAGGTTCCCTCTTTCTACTCTGTGGGCATCAAGGGATCAATCTCAGGCCATCAGGCTTCATAGCAAGTGCCATCTTGCTGGTTTGGAACCTGTTTTGTAGCTGAGGGTGATTTTGATTTTGAATTCCTTATCTACCTGCTTTAGCCTTCCATGTCCTGGGATTGTAAGCATGTACTATCACGCCTAGCTCGATGGCTGCCCCCCCCCCCCCGCCCCGCCCTTCTTCAGACAGTTTTTCTGTGTAGTCTTGTCTGTTCTGAAACTGACTTTATAGACCAGGCTGGCCTCAAACTCAGAGTCCACCTGCCTCTGCCTCTGCCTCCCAAGTGCTGAGATGAAAGGCATTCACTACCACTGCATGCATTTTTTTTTTTTTTTTAATATGCTTTTGCTTTGTTTCTTTGGCCGAGTTAGAACTCACTGTCCTGGCCTGGAACTTGGGATCCTTCTTGGCTTAGCCATGTGGCACCATCATGCCTCAAAAGCTGGCACACTTTTACAAGCATATAGTACTCTAATTTCTATTGTTTTACGTGTGTGGTATGCATGTGTGTTGGGAGCATATGTGGAGGTCAGCGGACCGCCTTGGGGAGTCCGTTCTTTTCTTTTGTTGAAGCAGGGTCTCGTCTCAGCTGCTCTGCATAGTCAACAGAGGTGCTGAGGTTATAGATAAGAGCCGCTGTGTGACTAGGACCGAGAGACAGCTCGGAGGTTAAGAACACTGATTGCTCTTCTAGAGCTCTTGAGTTCAATTCCGAGCAACCACATGGAAGCTCACAACCATCCATAATGAGATCTGGTGACCTCTTGCAATTTGCAGGCACACAATTGTATACATGATAGGTAGGTAGGTAGGTAGGTAGGTAGGTAGGTAGGTAGGTAGATAGATAGATAGATAGATAGATCGATCTTTTTAAAAAAAAAGAGAGCCACTGTGTGTTCGAGTGCATGTGTGTGCATTTAACACAGAGGCTTCCTTTCAAGCATTAGAGGTCTTCCTTAGTCTTTACCTCTCTTTAGATTCTGTGTTGCCCTCTTTGGTGTTTCCGTTTTCCACACTGATGCACATATCCTGTTGTTAGCATGAGTAAAGAAGAGATCTGTAGAATGTTTTTTGTTTTTTTTTTTTCTTTTTGGGTTCTGTTTAGTAGATATGTCTTACACTTAGGTCATTAAATGCTAGCATGAACAGTTTGGTACTGGGAATAATAAGTGCAGGTCCTCTTGGGGAGGGGGCAGGTGGAGATGGGAAGATGGTTCAGTTAGTGTTTGCTGTGTGTCTGTAATCTTAGCTCTGGAGGGCAGATACGGTGATCCCGGAGCTCACAGGCCAACCAGCGAAGGAGGATTGGCGAGCTGAGTTTAGTGAGAGAGCCTGTCTCAGAATATGCGGTGAAAATGATTGAAAAGACACTGGATGGTGGCATACAGACGGGTAGAAGTGCACGAGTGTTTCTGGAACCGAAGCATCGGAAGTGTTCCAAGCGTCAACAACCTTCTGTTGTTGTTTTTCAAGACAGGCTTTCTTTGTGTAGTCTTGGCAGTCCTGAACTCACTTTTGTAGACCAGGCTGGCCTCAAACTCACAGAGATCCGCCTGCCTCTGCCTCCCTGAGTGCTGGGATTACAGCTGTGTGCAACCATGCCCAGCTTTTTCCCTTATTTCTATGAAAGTACTTTTAAATCTTTTTAGGGAGTGATGAGGGATGGGTTCTAGGGACTGAACCCAGGGTCTTCCTTTGTACATACCAGGAAAAGTTCACTGCTGAGCTACTTCTAAGCCCACTAAAAGGCACGTATTTCTGTCTGAGGCTGTCCCCTTCCTGCAGGTTGAGTGTACTCTACCCGAAAAGCTGGGACTAGAAGTGTTCCAGATTTAGGAACATTTGCATAGACTGTTGGTCATGAATATAAATCTGAAATGCTCTAGACTCCCTAACATTGATTGTCATCAGTGCTCTGAAGGTTTCAAGCTTGGAAATACTTTGGATTTCAGATTCTAGACCAAGATGCCTAGTCTTATTCTGCCAAAAGCCAGAGCATAGTTGTTCAGCAGTCAAACTGGGGCTCTTGGGAGCTGCTTCTGCCCACTCCCACTCCCCCCAGGTCTTCAGTTGCATCCAGCACATCAGGAGCTTGCTGACTTAGCAATACAACCTAAGTCAACCTGTGCTTTTCCACTGTCTTCATGTTGGCACTCCTGCACTGCCATAGTTTTCTCCTCACAGTAGCCAGCAACCCCTTCCCCATGCCCTGGCTTTGCTTTCCTGTCATATCTAAGACGAAAACCCAGAGCTCTGTGTGGTTGGCCTTTTTGGCTTCTTTATCTCTGCATCTCTCTCATAACCTCCCAAGTGGTCTGAGTGACCACGGCTGCTTAGCAAACAGCCCCTACATCTTCCAGTGTGCTGCTCCCTCACTGTGCTGCCAGCTTCCTGTGAGGCTGCTGTTCTTGCCCTTCTCCTCATGACTTGTCTGTGGCATACTGAGGCTGAGATTGTCTTCATTGGACCCAGCACAGGGCCTGACTTGGGACGCTGCTGCATTTGTTGAAAGGCTAACAGGGATGTTAAGCTTCAGCTTCTTTATTTACTCCAGACTTCTTTGTTCAGTGTCTGTTTGTGTCTTCATTTTGGTGACAGCTTGGGGGATTTTTTGGACTGTTTGACACATTTGTTGATTTTGTTTTTTACCCCAGCCTGATTACTTTATCAGTGTTTTAGTTAAGACTTGGATTATACCAGGTGGGACTGTTTAGATTCCTCTTCATTCCAGCTGTTGTCTGTTTACTGTATCATGAGCTGTTTTCTTAAAACTTGAACACTTTTTTTTCCCCCCAGAAACAAGAGTTGAAATCAAAGAGTCTGTTCGTGGCCAAGATATTTTCATTATACAGACAATACCCAGGTAAGAGATGCCTCCCAGACACTTCCTGAGGTGGTTGGTTATCTTCTTATGTGACCATAAGCGGGGTTGATTTTTGTTGTTTCAATTCAAATTATGACTTTGCTCAGCTTGAGGCAGAAGAAGGATTAGGTCAAGGTTTGCGTGAGCTACAGAACCACTTCTAGCCAGACTGGGCGACTTAGTGAGAGCTGCCTCAAAAAGTTAAAGAAATGCCAGACACGGTGGCACACACCACTCATCTAGCACTCAGGAGACAGGCAGGCAGGTCTCTGTGAGTTGGAGGCCAGCCTGGTTTACATAGCAAGTTCCAGGCCAGCTAGGGCTACACAAAGAGACATTGTCTTGAGAACAAAAAACAAAACAATCCCCCCCCTTTTTTTCTTATACATTTATATTTATGGGGGGGGGGTATGCACCGCACACGTGAGGAGAGGAGAGAGCTTGGTGAGGTTCTCTTCTGCTACCATGAGTTGTAGGGATGGATCTAAAGTGTCATCAGGGTTAGCAGATGTCTACTCGCTGGGCCTGAAGTGCACTTTAGAAGGAAGAAAGAAAGGGAAATACGTCAGTGGTGGAGTACTCACTTGAATGTGCAAAGTCTTGGGTTCAGTTCCTAGCCTTGTCCAAAAATTAAGAGAGGACCTGAGGGGCTTGCTGAGAATCCATGGGGAAATGAATTGTACATTCCTTTGCTTTTCCTCCTTTCCTTTGCTTTTCCTCCTTTCCTTTGCTTTTCTTTCTTTACCAATTGGACGAGGTAACTTAAATTTAGGAAGCACTTTGCAGTCTTATTGAGCATTTGTTACAGGTGTTACAGGCCCAGGACTGTCTTAACAGGTCACTTCCTATATGCAGTGTCCTTTATTATTTTTCTTTTGTCTGCTGGGTTTGATGCTGTTCTGTGCATTTTTAAGGAACCTCTTAGCGTGTGTGTTTTGCCTATGTCCCTCATATTGCCTGGTTTTCTAACTGCCTTTGCCAGTCCCCACTAGACAGCTGACTTTGAACTTTCCAGAGTTAGTAACAGCCCACCCAGAGTGTATTCTTCCATCTCCTCTGCCTGGAAATGTCTTCCCTGAGACACTCGCCTAGCTTGTTCGCGCAGGCCTTTGTTCAGACAACATGTGATTGGAAGCTTTTCTTTTCTTGGTCCTCAGCTTTAAGAGCATGTAATAAGGAAGCACTGTAGGAGGCCCCAGAGTAGCCATGTAGACTCAGTTTATTCTTCAGCAGTGAGCAGAGGGAAGTTTGCAATGAGTGTTGTCATCTTTTTTCTCTCTTAATGCTAGAGTTCCTTAGAAGATAAAAACAATTTTCATGAAACCGTAAGCTCTTAGCAGCCATGTTAGACTCCCTGATTCTGTGGCTCTTGTCTGAGGGTGGAGAACAGAGCCTCAGTATTTCAGTCCCAGAGGGACCAGCATTTTCACTAGCAATCCTTTTCCAGATACAGAGGTCTAAGTCCAAAGACAGGACCAGGTGGCAGAGTCGCTTGGCTTCCATGATTAGCTTTGTGATAGAAGAGGGTACATGTCTCAGACAGGCTTATTGAGGAGACCTTGGAAACGCTAAGCATGCAGCTACAGTGGAAGCTGGAATTTGAGTTTCTGCTGTAGTTTTCCCTGCTCCAGGAAAACACATGCTGCCTTCTTTGGGGATGACTGTTGTGCCAGCCATGAGCAACTCTTCTGGGTACTTTTGTTCTGTCTGTTGATTTTCAGAGTTGTTCTTGAGGCTTGAGGGGAGGAGCTAAGGGTAGAGACCCTGGTGACTTAGGTCCAACATGTGACGACTAGGTAGCTTATGACACCCTTCCTACTGATTAGAGACCATTCAAGTATGGCTGATAGGACAGGAAATTGATAAGTGTCTTGTTTCCATGATCTATTGAAGGGTTGACACTCTGACACCTTGGCAAAGGATCTTCTGTTTTTTGTTTGTTTGTTTGGTTTGTTTTTTTTAAATGCCGAGAATAGAATTCAGGGCTTGCATGTTAGGCAGGTGACCTACTAGACTATTCCAATGCATTTCTTTTTCTTTTTTCTTTTCTTTTCTTTTCTTTCTTTCTTTCTTTCTTTCTTTTTTTTTTTTTTTTTGCTTTTTCAGGACAAAGTTTCTCTGTGTAGCCCAGGCTGTCCTGGGATTCATTCTGTATACCAGGCTAACCTTGAACTCAGAGATCGGCCTGTTCCTGCCTCCTAAGTGCTGGGATTAAAGGTGTGCACTTGTTACCAGTTCTTTTCTTCTTTCTTTTCTTGGTTTCTTGAGACAGGGTTTCTCTGTGTAGTCTGGACTTGTTTTGTAGACCAGGCTGGCCTCAAACTCACAGAGATCCATCTGCCTCTGCCTTCCAGAGTGCTGGGATTAGGTGTGTGCCACTGCGTCCAACAAGACTTTTAATTTGTGTGTTTGTGTGTGGTGACTCACACCTTACCCCCGGCACTCAGGAGGCTAAGGCCAGCCTGGTCTACATAGTGAGTTCCAGGACAGTGGAAGTGGGACCCTGTCTCAAAAACAAAACAAAACAAAAAAACAAATAACAAAACAAACAAAAAAGTGATCTTTCCAATTTCAGGCATGTGCTTCCATACTGACTTAAAAAGTAATTTTGGTTAACATATATATTTAATGTGCTCTTGGATTCGGTTTGTGAATATTTTGTTGAGTATTTTTGCATCAATTTTCACATGAACTCAGTGGCTTGCTCTATGATCACCTCCCCTTGAGGGGGATGCAGGCTTACCAGGCCACAGGGGAAGACAATGCAACCAGTCCTGATGAGACCTGATAGACTAGGGGAAAAGGACCTCCCCTATCAGTGGACTTGGGGAGGGACATGGGAGGAGACTAGGAAGGAGGCTACAGCTCAGATACAAAGTGAATAAACTGTAATAAAACAATAAAATTTAAAATAAAATAAATATATATATTTAAAATCATCACTATTATTAGTTGTTGAGAGGTGTTTTTGCTTACATGCATATCTGTGTGCCACATGTGTGCCTAGTGCCCACTGATGCCAGGAGAGGATATTGGATTCGCTGAACTGGAGTTTTAGCAGTTGTGAGCTGCTGTGTGGGTCCCCTGGCTCAACTATTAAGAAATCTCTTCAGCCTGAAATTTTTACTGTAGCTCAGGTTGTTCTCTTTCTGTCTTTTTCTTTGTTTGTTTTGCCCTGGCTGTCCTTGAACTCAGAGAGATCCACCTATCTCTGCCTCTGCTGGGATTAAAGGTGTGTGTCACCACACTTGGCTCCTCAGGTTGTTTGGTGTGTCATTGTCAGTATGGAAAACAGTCCATTGTCAATGGCCAAAAAAAAAAAAGGTCTCACTATTTTAAAATTCTATTTCCCTTTGTGCATGATCGACAAGCTGTCTGGCACTGAGCTGTGTGTCCTTTCTCCATCGCCTCCCTGTGTTTTGGCCCTCCAGATGCTGTCTGTTCTAGCACAGGAGTAGCACGTTGCTAATGTCTTTGGAAGTTGGAGGGTTGCCTTCTATATAGTTTGTGTTCTCGGCATCTCTTGGAAGCCAAGAGTGCTCAGAAGAAATATTTGATCTACTAGTGTCGAATGACCCTGGGGTGGTAATAGAAGGCGGCCTGTGAAGGTCGGCCGTTTGCAGGGTCTTCCCAAGGACAGGGTAATGATGCATAGTGGCCAGCTGGGGGCATTGACAGTTTTTTCAGCCTGTGCTTAGAGTATTGGAAAATATGACTGCAACAATCTGAACTGCTCCAACCGCTTCATCTGATCATGTTTTCCTATACTACTGACTTTGGTAGACCAGCCAGGAGGATTGTTTGCTTGTTTTTTTTTTTTTTTTTTTTAAGAGAGCTTCTCTGTGTAGTTCTTGCTGTCCTGGAACTCAGTATGTAGACCAGGCTGGCCTTGAACTCAGAATGATGGATGGGTCTTTTTAAAAATATCATGTAGGGGCCAAGATGGCCCAGTGAGAAAAGGTACCTTTTACCAGGCCTGACAGTAGTCTTTAGAACCTGCATACTGTTTCTCTACATGCCTATTATAACATGTACGTGTCTGTTTAAATACACACACACACACACACACACACACACACAAAAATAAATAAATAAAGATTTAAAAAACTAAGTGGAATCCACTTAGTGCTGTTTGCTATAGACAATCAGTTGTTGGAGTACTATGTCCCAGGATTTTACAAGTCCAACCAGTTTAACATGTGTATTGATTGCATCTTATTTTCCTGCCTCACATTAATTTTTGTTTGTTGAAAATGATAGGGCAGTCAGAGCAGTCTAGTGCAGAAAAAATTACTCTAAAGAAAGAAAAACTGTTGGTGAAATAGTTAAGCTTTTCAGTAATGACTACAAGAGCCAGCAGAACAAACTTGAAACATTTTTAACAGACAAAGAAGAGGCCTCCAGCCAAGTCCTCTAAACCCTGCTAGCCACAAAACAACTGCCTGTGTCCAGTGTGTCTGATATCTTAATAGTGGATAAAGCCAGCATGACAAAGGCCCCATTGTCACCGTCCTGACCAGCAGAGGGTGAGGGCTGGAGGATGTTGAATTATTTTTGTTTTGTCTTTGAGATAGGGTAATAGTGTTGGCTGCCTGGAGCTTGCTATGTAGACTGGGCTGCCCTCAAACTCACAGAAATGCACCTTTTCTGCCTCCTGAGAGCTGGGATTAAAAGTGTGCTGATATCACCATCCTTGGCTGTGGGTGTTGAAGTCTTTGGTATAGTTTACTGGGAAGAGAAAAAAAATGGAATGTTAAATCTCTGTAGGAAACTGGTAAATCCTAAAATCAGAATCTCTTGAGTTTGTTACTGTCTGGCCCTTCTTCCCCTGAATGGGCTCTGCAGAATCCACGGCATCAGGCAGTTGTGTGTAAAGCGTGCCAAAACAAGGCCAGCTAAAGCTGAATAGCTTTCCTTCCAGACACTGCTTAATTAACTGCACTGGACGTGTGCTGTTGGCGTTGAGGTCTGGTGTGAGGCCACACAGTAAGTGTGTATAGAATGCGTCATGTGTGGTGTTGAGCCTAGGTGCAGCCTTCAGGTGATGTGTCTGCATCCAGCCCAACACTCAAGCTCACAAGGCAGACAGAAGTATATAGCTGTATTCCTGGGTGAGGAACATTGCTACCAAAATTATGTATGCTGCTTGGGGTAAATGACTATGGCAAGAGTAACCTCAGTGTGTTCTGGCCTTCTGAGATGAGGGCTGCCCATTTGCTCTTTGTCCTCAGCCTCACCCAGTGATGAACTCAGGTTGCTCCATAAATAGTTGACCGTTGAACTAAAATTAACCCAGTGTTAGGAATACCCAGGTGCATTGAAAGTGATTACTTTATGTTGACGGTACAGAAGACTGTCTTCTGACCCTGGGTGGCAGACTCCAGCAGCATTACTTTGGAAACAGGAAGAAGACAAACGCTCCAGCTTACCTCAGAGGAAAGAAATAACCGGCAAGGGAGGGACGGACTTGCCCAGGGTCCAGGCGGAACACGGGTTGTTGTGATGAGGAGCCCTTAAGTCAGTTTTGCCTGTGCTCTGAGAGATCTGCTTTGTTTTGTGTCAGATTTGTTGCTGTGTGTGTGCAAGTGCCCTCAGAGCAGACAGGGCAGTGGGTCTTCTGGGGACTTGGGTGCTGGAAACCTCACCAGGGTCTTTCTTCTCCAAGGACAGTACACACTATTACTGCTGAGCCAGAGAGATGGTTTTTGGTTTTTTGAGTTTTGTTGTTGTTGTTGTTTTGGCTTTTGGTTTTTTGAGACAAGGCTGGCCGGAAACTCAGAGATCCATCTGTCTCTGCTTCCCAAGCGCTGGGATTAAAGGTGTGCACCACCACAGCTGGCTGCCAGAGAGATTTTGTTTGTTTTTGTTTTTGAGACAGGGTTTTTCTGTAGCCTTGGCTGTCCCTGGACTTACTGTTTAGACTAAGCTGCCTTCAAACTCACAGAGAACTGCCTGGCTCTGCCTCTCCAAATTTTGGTATTACAGGCTTGTGCCACCATGTCAGGCTCAGAGAAATGTTTTTTAATCAAAGATTTCTACAGTGGTTATGATATAACTATTACAGATAAAAGAAATAGATTGTTAGGGTCTGGTGAGATGGCTCAGAGGTTAAGAGCACTGGCTGCTCTTCCAGGGGTCTTGAGTTCAGTTCACAGCAACCACATGGTGGCTCACAGCCATCCATAGTGAAATCTGGGGCCCTCTTCTGGCCTGCATGCAGACAGAGCACTCATGTACATAAAATACATAGATAGATAGATAGATAGATAGATAGATAGATAGATAGATAGATAGATAGATAGAT